CTATAGTGCCCAGCCCAGTGGGCCAGATCACATCTATCTTTTGTGGGAATAAAATGTTTTCTATTGCTGGGAAGCTGTCTGAGTCACAAATTTAAAGATTTAAAGAAAAGAGTGCTTTATATAATTGTTCCTGTGGGTAAAGTCTCTCTTATCATATCCCCCCTTTTGTTTTAATAATTGAGTTTTAACTGGTAAATCTTTGCCATAGAGGACGACTGGTAGACGAAGAACAAAGGACTGTATTGGTGGTTCTTTGACCCTCTGGGCTGACGCAGGTTAAAGGGAATCTGCTTTGTGGGGGAGGGGCTCTACAGCTGCCAAGTCCTGCATAGTAGGTATCAACAGAGAAATGAATATATTTAGGTTTGTCAAAAGATTCAGAGTGAGTCACGTCCACTTGCCAAGTTTCATTGGCTTTTAAATCACAGGGATTGACACCTGCCTGTGCAGCAGATTTTATCAATCATGGTTGCCTTAGAAGTTGAATCCCTACAGAATGTTAACAGATAACAATTATAAAGTTTCACAGAGAAAATTTGAGATCAAGGGCAGCGTAATATTTTATCATAGCAATTATGATTACATTATATTAGAACCATTAGGTTTTGTTATTATCTCTGAAACATTTAAATATTCATCTTAGAATAGGATAACTTTTTGGTCAGGTATCTTTAAATGGAATAAACTTTTATCTGAATTTGTTATCTTTTAATAGAATATCATTTGAGAAGAATATACTTCTCAAGGTATATATGTATATATGTATTTTATAGGTTTTTAATCTTCTAATTTCTAGAGTGAGATTGCCTGGACTGCATAGTGTCTGGGTATCTTTAACTGTTATAATTACATAATGATCACATAAACATAAGCATGAAAAAGTAATCACATCATCTGGCTGGCTATATCATGCTGGATTGACATGTACATTTCATTACAAATAGCTGAAACACAAGTAAGGGAAAGCCATGTGATTAAGCCTAAAAAAATTTATCACCATAAATCACCAGTGTGATTTTTTTTTCAGTTTTGTATCTTTGAAGGTCTGTGCACTTGGGAAGCACAAATATAAAACTTAATATACCATGAGGTTAGCAATAATTGGCATCACACCTATGTAGAAATCTTTACATATATTTAGTTTCTACTCTTAAGACAAATTTTAGACTCCTTTAACAGGTTTTATAAGGTGTAATTGTATTGACAAGAATCTTTACAGCTCTAATAAGTTTTAGAAACAGTGTTAATGACCACAAATAGACTTAGTACCCAATATAAAAGTGTATCTCACTTATACAATAACAAAAATGCTTGTTTAATCAAAGCCAATAGCTGTAGATCAACTTTAAATGTCAGGACCAAATTTAAAGAGATGTCAAATTTTGATCATTTTATATGTTTAAGGTCTAAAGATATATTTTATAAGAGAGCACCTAATAGTTACTTTGTATGTATTAAACTTCTATAATCTCAACTCCATAAATTTTAGATTCACAGCATTGCTTGTTTTTTACATGTATACACACAAACATATAGCCACATATATGTTATATTATGAACTAAGACAATAGTTGTTCATTTAACCAATCACGAACTGATTATTGAACATGTTTTATAGGTTAACATTCAAATACCCTTTTAACTCTTAAAGTTTGCTTTTAGTAACCAAAAGCCTAACAATGAGAGCACAAGAAACTTATTTGGGTAAAATATAGAACCTTTGCTTTTAAATTTAGCTTTGTAAGTTTAACCAAGAGCATCTCAATATTTTTAGAAAACCCTACTGCTTGAGACGTAGAAAATTTAACCTTTTAATTATGGCCCAAAATAATTACTTCAGACTACCTATCATAACAAATAACACTTATCTAAAGATACACATGCACACACACATGTATATTATATATATATAATTTTTGACCAAGAAAAACTCTTAAGTTATGGTATATAGACAATAATAGATGTTACATTTATAAAACTGATTTTTGATGTTATCTTGGTTACCTAAGAATCCAGATGGAAATGTTACCAACTTTGAAGACATTTTTACTCTCACCAACTGATTTAAATTAGCTTACTGCTAAGCTTTATGAATAATAGGTATACTTGTGACCATTTGAGGTAATGTCTTGAGTGTTTATCTATTAGCCAAATTAAGTAGAACTTTTGGAGGATAATATAATATATACCTGAAAGTTAACACACAGAAACATAACCTAGATCATATGTAACTTTTATGTTATCAAACTTCAAGGGTTTGGTTCCTATGTAGGCCTGTCAGGTCAGTCTTTATCTGGTAATGTTGTAAATGAGTTTGATTACCCTGAAAACCTATATAAATGATTTTTCTATGGAAATCTCAAAAAGAACAAAAAAAGTAAAAAGAAATTGTTGAGCTCAAAAAAAATTTAAACAAGGCAGCTGAAGGGGCTTTAATTGGTTATTAACATACATTGGACAGACAAACATACAAACATACAAAATAATTTAAACCAGAGTGCACTCTTAGACATATTGGTAAGTTGAAAGTGTGTGCCACTATGCCCAGCTCTCAGTTGTTTGGGGTTTTTTTTTTTTTTTTGTACAGGGGATCCAACTCAGGACTTTGTGCTTGCAAGGCAGAAGCGGTGCCACTGAGCTAAATCCTGGCCCTATTTATTTGATTTTTTGAGACAGGGTTTCACTTTTTAGTGCAGGCAAGCCTTGAACTCACTGTGTAGCCCAGGCTGGCCTTGAACTCGCAGTGATCCTCCTGCATCAGCCTCCCAAGTGCTGGGATAACAGGTTTGTGACACTATGCCCGGCTCCTACAATAATCTTTTTATAGTTTTTAGGTTTGTAGCTATAAGGAGACTAGTCAGAACTTTTCCTATAGATCATCAATTGGCAGAGATGTCTTATAATAAGGGTCAGAAGGAAAATACCCTTTTATATCTGTGAAAGTGAAGACTGTTATTAAGAAGGGATTTAGGCTGATGGTTTCTTACTGTTTAAAATTTCTTTCTGTTTAAAATTGTTAATAAATTCATAAGGATCCCTGGGAATATTTTTTTTTTTTTTATGAATGAACCAACCTATTTGTACTATAAAATCCGGTAAGTTTGCCCTACGGAGCACAGCATTTTAGAAGGGAGAGGGAAGTGAAAGGAATTAATTCCAGTTCTGCCTAAGGATAGAAAGGCTGATAAATTTGGACTAAAATATTTATATTTGCTCTTTGAGAGTACGAAGGTCAAATTCAAACTAGGTTTTAAATATATGGCCTAGAGATAAGTGAAGGTCAGCTTCACTCTAGAAGAATTTTAGGGAGGGGGAAAACCACCAACCCAGGAAGCTGGTCATGGAATGTAGCAGCCATTTGGAAGAGAAAAGCCCTGGAGCATGAGAACCTAATCCAAACCTTCTCAAGGGCAGAAAGACAAGATAAAAAGCTTTCCCAGGGTGGATCTCCAGTCCTTAGCAAAACATGCCTCCAAAGACAAAAGCTATGATTGGAAAACCAACAATGAAAAAACTTCAGTGACTGCTTTTTGACTTTCAGAGAGCAACCAAGAGAGAGAGAAAATTATAGCACAGATTGAAGAAGGTCCTTTAAGCTTTATAGCTTTGGGCTCACCTAAGTGTGTGCTTGAACTTTTGTAAAAAATATTGGTGGGGGTTCCTTTTTCCTGATAAATCTGTCCCAGTTTAGCCTAACTTGCTGGCTTGACTTTTGCTGTCTTTAGTCTTTTCGCTTTCTTTTTATTTTCCTTTAATTATTTTTACTTTTCCTATTTACTTTTTCTTTTCCTTTTTTTTTTTTTTTCAGACAAACCCAATGGGCATATGTTATCGTTTTAGAGCCCTCACCCCTCTCCTCATGGCCTATGGGGTCGAAGGCAGAAGGGGGCTTTCAGAGGGAGGTGAGGGAGGAGGAGAAAGCTCTTTTAGGAGAACTTCCTTTGAGTAGAACAAAGAGTGACCCTGCAAAGATGCCAGATAACAAGGTACTCAGACTTTATAGGACCTAATGATTGTCTCAATTTTCAACCCACATGTTCCCAGTGTTCTATCTCCAGGCTGCCCTCCAGAGGAAACTATGGACATTGTTGTTGAATAACTATCAATAATTTAATTAGTTGAGGTTCAGAAACGTTACATCCAGATGTCTTAAGAGACATTGTAAATGCTGCTTAAATTGCCTTTTCTCTTTGAATAAAGATTGATCCATACCATAGGAAAGAAAGTAAAAGAGCAAAAAGAAGAACAAATGAACTGCTTCCACTTAGCAATTGAACAACTAAAAGACCTCTGGGCTGATAATCCTAACCTGTGACTTTGCCTAAGGCATTCCAGGCTATTCCATGGCTGCCTCTGTGCCCTTACCGGGATGCGAAGTTGGACATCCTGCTTCCTTTTCCAGGCTTTGGAAAGTCGGTCCTCTATGTTGAGTTTCATCAACTTTTTCCTCACACTGGGCATCTCTTGTCACTGTTCACAACTGTGGTACAATGCAAAGGATAAAAGATGCTCAGAGTCAATGTTCAATTCAGACTACAAGAAGGTCCAGAGGGACTGCCTGAGCTGAAGCTGTGGCTTTTTATTGATAGAACCAGGAAGCAAGGATAAAGGACAAAGGAAGGATGTAAGCGCAGGAACTCATTTAGGGGAAACAGATCAGCTGTAACATGACCGACCTTAGGGCCAATCTAAGTAATAAATCAGAGTATGGGGAGGTCGAAGGCCAGAGCATTCATTCCTCAGGGCAGTGTGTTTTGATCCTACTTGGACTTGTGGCCTTGTAGGCTTGTTTAATCTCTAACCATGCATTCTGGGAGGTTTTGGGCCTGTGGCTCTAAAAGTCCCTTATTTCTGCATATCCATCTCATGCATAACTCTAGCCAATACCCCTACAGAATCTGATATGGAATATAAATGGAAACAAGTGAAATTATTTCAAATGACAAATATAATTGCATTGAAGGTAGGGACGATGAACTAAAGTAATTTTTCATACACTATTTTGAAAATGTAACCTAAAAATAAAAACAAAAAAATATATACACAAATAGTGAACTCTAGTAAGTGGGATTGGTGTTTTTAGCATTGCAGGTTAGCAATTTGTTACTACTTTATTTGTTTTTAAAGATTAAGCAAATAAGTACATAAAATGAAAGTAGAAGTCTGATGCCTCTTTTTTGTTTACAGGACAGCTAAGGACTGGGAGAATTTAGAGCAAACCCCATGATATATGTTGGATTGGGATTTGAGGTATAAATTCATGGCTTTTTGTGGTTATTGTCTCTATCTCTCTCTCGCTCTCCCATCATCTATCATAACAAATACATACATACATACATACTTACATATAAGTACATACTAAGTTCATGCACTGAGAAGGCCTAGAAACAACAACATCAAAATAGTAGTGAGTAAACTTAGCACTCAAGTCTTGATTTCTAAGTAGGATCTTCACTAAAATAGATTCTTTGAAAAAGAAATCAGAGAGGGGACAGAGAAACTATAAAATGAACCTAGAATATACAGCCCTCCTCAAAAAATTATGGGGACACTCAGGAGGATATAGGAAGCAACTTCAGATGGACCTACTTATCAAACTTGGGACTATTTGAGCATCAAAATAAATGATAACAGTAATGGATGTAATCTATAGAATAATATAAGAAACTGGCTATACACAAAGCAATCAAAATATATGATGAATGTTTAAACTTAAAGATTATATTACAGTAAAAGATACACTGTCAGTTCCCCTCAGAACACTGCCTCTTGTTTCTAATGCACTTATCTTATTGGGAATAATGTGTCACTTTCTGAGGCAGTTCTAGAAGTCTTCTTGTCTTTACAAGATGTAATCAAAATAGGTGAATGTTGCTGCTGAGTGCCATGCAATGAAAAGGCAGGCTCATAAATATGATGTGTCCTCATCATCTTATTCATCAAATCTGGCGCCCTGCTACTTCTGGATCTTCCCCAAAGTCAAAATGGTCAAAATAGGTAAACATTTTGTATCAATTCAGAACACCAAGGCAGCCGCTACAGTACAACTAAAGACTTAAAAAAGAAGATTTCCCGAACTGCTTCAGAAGGGGTCAAGAACAATGGGATAAGTGTTTTCAAAGTGAGAAGGAGTATTTTGAGGGAAATTAGTGGTGGCAATGTGCTTTTTAATATAATAAAGTTTTTAAAACTTAAGCATTCACTGTCATTTTAGATCATACCTCATATACTGATATACATAAATAAATGAATAATAAATAAGACAATTGGTGAAATTTGTTTAAGGTCTTAGATTTAACAATGGTATTGTATCAATATTAATTCCTGATTTTGCAAACTATACTGTGCCTCTTTTCTTTAGGAAATAGACACTGAAGTATTTAGAAGTAACACAACATTGTGTCTGCAAATTTACTCACTAATGATTCTGATTTTTAAAAATGTAAAGGCAGGCTTGGTGGCATGTGCCTGTAATCCCAGCACTTCGGAGGCTGAGGCAGTAGGATTGCTGAGAGTTCCAGGCCAGCCTGCGCTACATAATGGGACCCTGTCTCAAAAAACCAAAAATAAATAAAATAATATAAAAATATAGACTTTAAAAATTTTTTGACTTTTAATTTGAAATAATTTAAAACATACCTAAAAGTTACAAGACTAGCACAAGGAACTCTAATCTATCCATCTGTGAGGGCTCTCAATTCTTTTTTTAAAATTAATTTTATTGGTACATTTTTGATAACATGATGATCACATTCATCACAGGGAATTTGTACCTGTACATGATATATCTTGATTCTTCCTTTTCCCCCATCCCCTTCCCCTCCCTTCAACTCTTCTTCCCCTCCTTATTTACAAAAGCTTTGTTTCTAGTTTTTCATTCTATTTTCTTTTGCTTCCTTTTCTTTTCCTTCCCTCATCCCTTTGTTCCCCTTTCTTTTTAAGGATTGTCTTCCTACTTCTCAATATCTATCATCCATTATGGTCCCTATTTGTGCTTTTGGTTTCTCAAGAGAAACAATTCCATATTTAAATATGTATGTTTGATTTATTTCACTTAAAAATATGGTCTCAAGGTACATCCATTTACCTTAAAATGTCTCAAGTTTATCCTTTATGGCAGAGTAGTACTCTATTGCATATAAAAAACACACTTGCTTTATCCATTCATCTGTTGATGGGGATCTGGGCTGTTTCCAAGATTTAGCTATTACAAATTGTGCTGCTATAAACATGCATGTGCATATATCAATGTCATATGATGTTTTTAACTCTTTTGGGAAGATACCAAAGAACCTCTAGTTTAAAGTTTTTGAGGATTTTCATATTTGTTGATTTTCATATTTGTTGCACCAATTTACACCTCTGCCAACAGTGACAAAGGGTTTCTTTTTCCCCACTGCCTCACCAGCATTTGTTATTGGTTGATTTCTTGATCATAGCCATTCTTTCTAGAGTGAAATGGAATCTCAGTGTTGTTTTAATTTGCATTTCTTGAATGATCAGTGATTTTGAACATTTTTTTATATATTTACTTCCTGTTTGTACTTCTTCATCTGAGAAGTGTCTATTTCAAATGCCCACTTTTGGATTGGAGACCCATCAGTTCTTGAAGATTTATCACATTTGTTTAATCCTTTTTTCTCTTCTAATCATTTTTTTCCTCTTTTTTCAACCTCCAACTGTGCTCAAAATCATTTCAAAATAAAAACAACAGACTTATGAGTGAATTCTTTCTATATTTTTTTTGTTTCCAAATTTGGTAGTATAAAGTTGTTGTTAAAAATATAAACTTTAGAGTAAGAGATGGCCATGCTCAAGTGCCCCTTTGACTTAGGGTTGTGGTAACATTTTTCTCTGAGCCTCAGGGTCCTAATCCCTAAAATGATAAAAGTCCTAAATTTAAGGGATCAGTGTGAGAGTCTAATGCATGTAAATTCCTCAGCACCATAACCGATGCACAGTAAGCATCTAATAATCTACTTTAGCTATAATTATTTTTGCTTCCTTCATCCTTATACATCTTTTCTCTTGTCCTAATGGAGTTAAGATAATCTTTTTTAAAATAAACTTTTAAAAGTTTATGGCTTTTGTTTATTCTAGGATATTTGGAATCATTTCTTCTGTAGTAAACCATAACTTAGCACTCTATGGCATCTATATGGCCTTTGAAGATTGGAAATACATAGTTTTCTAATGAATGTATTAATATTATTTCCCTTTGGTGGCTTTTCTCCAATTTTCACTTTTTATTTTGAATGTATAGTTTGGAATATATTAGTAAAATTTTTGTTATATATAAGACCTTCACATTGATAAAAGCCAATAAATGTTGAAAAATAAGTAAATACTTTTTTTTGTTTTAGGAGAATGGACTATTTCTTTTGAGTATTTGTTCTCATTGTGACTGAAATATTTGACCAATATATAAATAACATTGAAGAGTTATTTTATTGATGTAAGTGATTATTTACTTCTTACTATCATATAAAACATTCGTGGCTCTTCAGGATTTATGGTTTATTGAACCTCAAATTGTTGCTGAGAAAATTTGTGGGAAATGAGCTAGTCAGTGCTCTTACAGATGCTATATTACATGAAACACTGCCAAGAGAAGGGTTATTCACTTATAAAGCAAAAGGTCCTTTGTGGCCCAACTCATTCAAATGATTAAGTGCTAATATAATTGTGAATTTATAATTGTTATTTTTACCATAATAACTCATTTGTTCAGCTAACAATAGTAAAGCTATTCATAGTCCTTAAATCAAATTATTTAATAGCTTTTTTTCTTCATGAACTCCTCTACTCTTCCTCTTCTTCCTTTGAAGCTAAATTTTAAAATGGCTGGCTAATTGGAACAAACATTGGTAGTGGGCAATTGATCAGAAAAATGTTGGATAGGAAAATAGGGATTTATTTTTATTCTAGCTAAGAATGATAAAACTTAGGAAAATAAATATATTTGATTTTGTTTAAAATATCTAAACTCAGTGAATAAAGAAAGCATTTACTTGGCAATGATTTATCTGGCCATTTCTGTTATACTTCATCAAGATGTGTCCTTGCTAGATTTGTAGCTCCTCAATGACCAACTGTACTGCAGTGGGACTTGTATGTAGCAGATTATTTATATGTATTTAATAAATCATAATTTTTTAGAAAGTAAAAATTATATCCCACTATAATGAGGAACTTGGAATTGATGATTATTTTTTAAACTGTTGGCCAATGACTTGCTTATAATCTCCACAACCAATAACTTATTTAATAGTATCAGGAAGGATTTTAAGTATAATACAAAGAATGTAATTTTGCTTTTGCATAAACTATAGCATATCCTTATTAGAAGAGTTGGGTTTGGTTAAGAAAAAGAATAATACCTGTAAATATCTCATCATTAAATTAGAGTAGGTCACCTATGAGTTCTAAGTTTTTACTTTGTATCCAAAGTCATTACATGTGATTATAATTTATGGTATATTTCTCCTTGTACAAAGTGTACTTTTCATGCATATATTTTTATGACTTTTATTT